GATCGCCCCAAAAATTAACAAAACCAGGCTGACCCCGAAAACACAATTCAATTATCTCAGCATTGTACTTGATAGCATTGGGTCTACATATCGGTGATGCGTCCGACTCTGCTGTATGGAGTCTTAGGGTGGTGGCAAGCCATGGCAGGGACTGCTCTGCATATCGAGGCGCTGAGGGCAACTTCCCCCAAAGCACTCGAAATGTCGTCTGGTTACATCAGGAAACTGGTAGCTGCAAGGATTCGGGCACTGTTCAATTGGTCGAGACATGAGCAAAACATCTGACTACATGATTCCCAGAACGTCAAAGTTGAACTTTCTTTTGTTTTTTGCATCATACCAAAAAAAGTAGGTAAAATGGTCGACTTTCAGGTTGTCGGGAGCAGCCGCAGCAATCAACTTAATATCAATTTAAAATCATTTATTGTTTGCCATTTGGTCAGCATCTCTGACAACAACAATGTAAACAAAAGCTCCCAATTATCTATTTTGCAAAAGATAAGCCGAGATAAGCGACTGCGCTCGCTGTTCTCTCGGACCTACGCACTCTCATCATTAACATTCGCTTTTGATCGCTGGTACAGAGCAGCTCGTTCGCTCTCGCTACCACAATAAACGCATTAAAAATCGAACCACATTTTCGGCTTTCCTTTTAACACCGTTCTGACACACACATAATTCTCTCTCGTTAATTATTCGCAAAAAAGGTGGCATAAATTAATGTCTCCTCTAAACATTTGGTGACCCCGACGTGATAGTGATCGCTGCAGGGCCATACACACACAAACTCTTTTCGCATCGCTTCGCCCGGTATTCGTACATACCGTCATACATACATACATACATTGTACAGTTAGAATCGGCTGCTGTACAGTTTGAATTTTTCTGCATTACGGAAGGTGTTACGCAACTTCGCTCGCCAGGCAGAGTTCGCTGCCCGTTGTTTTCGGCTCCTTCATTACCCTCAAATTCGTTCTTTGGTTTTCGCTGGCCCAAGTGCAGGTGCAGCGGAAATTTCGTGCGGTGACTTTCGTATACCCTACAAGCGGCAAATAAAAATTAAAAATGCCAGCCAAACATACGAAAAAACCTGAGCTCGCGCCTCACGCACCAAACGGCGAGGAGTTTTATCGGGCTAAGGCAGATTCTATGGTACGCCAGCTGGCGGCCCTAAATTCCTTTTTGACAGAGGAGCAGTTGGCCAAGTTGGACGAACGTGAGTTGCAGGTGCGGTTGGACCTAATCGAGCGCATGTACTCTGACTTCGGCAGCTCTCGACTTAACCTCGAACAACTTGTGCTTGAGGAGTTGGAGTCAGATGCGCGCTTAACCTTTACCACGGCATATTGTGAGACGAAAGGAAAAATCTGCCGCCATCTCAACAGCGAGAAGAGAAAGTCGTTGGCAAATCCAACTGAGTTGCATGGCATCCTCGGTGGACACGCAGCCGCCTTCAAGTGCAATTCGCGGCCCACCAGGCTACCGGAATTTCAGCTTCCCCGATTTGGCGGAGCATACATCGATTGGCCGGATTTCTACGCCATGTTCAACACTGTGGTGGGAAGAACGAAGATCTAACAAAAGTGGAAAAGTTTCAGCATCTTCGCGCATGTTTGGACGGCATTGCACTGGACGCAGTTCGCTCGCTGGAGCCCACGGAAAATAATTACGACAGGGCTTTGGAATTGTTAACGTCGAGATTCGATAATAAATTATTGCACTTTCAGGCACATGTTCGGTCTTTATTCAAGCTACCCGGAGTGGAGAAGGGCTCCACAAGTAGTCTGCGGCAGTTAAGCGACAAGGCAAATTCTCATTTGCGCGCCCTGGCTACTATGGCCTCTACACAGGAAATATATGACGGCCTCTTAATTCACCTCATCGCTTCAAAACTGGACGTTCAGACCCAGGAGAGGTGGGAAGAAGGATTACCTTCCAAGGAGCTGCCAAGTTGGGATAAATTCTCATCGTTCTTGGACCTTAGATGCCGCATGATGGAAAATTTGGAATACGCTATGGTAAACCAAGCACCTAGCAAGCAGGTTGGAAAAGTAGCTAACAAATTCTGTCGTAGCACCCTCATTGCTTCATCATCAGCTATGCCATCATGTACCTTGTGCGAGTCTAGGGAACATTATTTGACAAAATGCCCACAGTTCTTAGGATTGAACCCCAATCAGCGATATAGAGAGTCAAAAAGGCTACATCTTTGTCTCAATTGCCTACGAAAGGGACACAGCCTACAGCAATGCAAGTCTGGCAACTGTAGACACTGCCACCAGAGGCATCATAGTCTTCTTCATTTGGAAACAAATCCCGTTCCAACCCTGGCCCAGCCTGTTCCAGAAATACTTCCGCAAGGATCATCTCACGTCTCTGTAGCCTTGTCCAAAACGCCGCCGTTAGCTTCATCGTCGACTAGAACCGAATACGTCTTGCTTGCCACCGCCATAGTCTACGTGAAAAATCGCTCTGGCGTGTTCGTGCCATGCAGGGCCTTGCTCGATTCGGCTTCTCAAATCAATTTCGTCACATCTCGTTTCGCCAATCAGCTTCAGCTCAAAATCCATCGTTCAGTCATCTCCATATCAGGAATCGGTGAATCCTCGCTCGCTTCGGATAAATCGGTTCATATTTTCGCTCAGTCGAGCAACGCAAAGTATAGCACTTCGCTCTCTGCTGCTGTCACCCAATCAATCACCGATTACCACCCGCATTTCGATCTCAACGCGTCTGAATGGAAAATACCGGAAAATCTCGAGCTCGCCGACCCGCTCTTCTACAAAAGTCAACGCATCGACTTGCTTATTGGAGCAAGCATATTCTTCGATTTACTTTGTATTGGACAAATTCGATTAGGCATCAATTTACCCACTCTGCAGAAAACCAGACTTGGCTGGATCGTCTCAGGGGGTCTATCGGTAGGATCTTCCATTCGCTCATCGTTAGTTTCTTTATCTCAAGAGCCCAGCACTCATTCGGAGTCGGAATCGATCTCTGAGATACTAAAGAGATTTTGGGAAATAGACAACTGCGCAGATTCCACAAAAACCATTTCGAAAGAAGAAGCTCTATGCGAGCAGTTATTTCAGCAGGAATACACTCGGCTTGAATCTGGCCAATATTCGGTACTACTTCCTGCCAAAACTAGTTTCGATGCTCTAGGAGATTCGTATGGTCGTGCACTTATTCGTTTTAAATCACTCGAGGCCAAATTAGCTAGAAATTTAGAGCTAAAGTCGCAGTATAAAGCCTTTATAGAGGAGTACCTGAACCTTGGTCACATGTCTCTAACAACTAAAAATGCTGCGTCTCATCAGTATTACCTACCTCACCACTGCGTCCAAAAATTGGAAAGTACAACAACAAAACTGCGAGTTGTTTTCGACGGCTCGGCGAAGTCCACTTCGGGATATTCGTTGAACGATTTGTTGTACGCTGGTCCTTCTATTCAACCAAAAATCTTCACTACCCTGCTTCGTTTCCAAAACCGGGCGCTGCGCACAATCACAAATGCACCCTGGTTTGCTAGGAATGCAGACATCGCTAACGACCTCAAAATGCTACCAGTGAGGGAGCAGATCAACAGGCACTCAAGTCGGTACAATGAACGGCTTCTGGCCCACACCAACCACCTAGCGGCATCATTGGCCATCCCCATGTCCAGACGAAGACTGAAGAGACGACATCCAGGTGACCTTTGGTTAAGAGGGAGGCAAAGAACCCGAGTCCTACACCAATAACTGAAATGCCTTTGTAAATTATAAATTGTTGTTTACCGTTTACTGTTATGTTTCCATGTTATGTTTGTTGTTAGTGTTAGTCCCTACGTTTTATAATCATTGATTTGGTTGATTAACGTATAATTAAATTTGAACTTATATAAAACCCTGCTTCGTTTCCGATTTTTCAAGGTTGCTTTGTGTGGAGATATTTGCAAAATGTATCGCTGCGTTCGGGTTACGCATCCCCATCAGTTTCTGCAATGTATTCTATGGCGCGATCGGCCAGAAGACGAGATTCAAGTTTACTCGCTTGACACCGTAACCTATGGCACGAAGCCTGCTGCTTTTTTGGCAATTCGTGCAATGCAGCAGCTATCCTACGATGAAGAAGCGGAATTTCCAGTAGCAGCAAAAATCATACGCACAAACTTCTACGTGGATGATCTAATCGCAGGAGGAGACACCATTGAGGAGGTAGTTGAAATTCGTCAACAAATCAAGGCGCTCCTGGAAAGAGGACACTTTCCAATTCGCAAATGGTGTTCCAAAGAGCCTGCTGCGCTAGAAGGAGTGGATGACTCGGATCGGGAGAAAACTTTAAAGTTCCACGACGGAACCGACGTTACAAAGGCGTTAGGTTTATCTTGGGACACGCTATCGGATAGCTTGCTTTTCAGCTTCTCAAACGAATGGACAGAAAAACCCTCAACCAAGCGCAGCATCCTGTCTGCTATCGCTAAGTTTTATGATCCCCTTGGACTAATAGCCCCAATCATAACCAAGCTTAAAATTTTCATGCAGGTATTATGGAAGGATAAGCTCGACTGGGATGAATCCCTGCCGCAATCTTTGCATTCCGCTTGGTTGGAGCACATGTCGCAGATCGCCACAGTTGCTTGTTTGAGGTTTCCACGCTTTGTTCTGCAGCATAACTCAGAGTGCGAAATACATGGATTTTGCGATGCAAGCATGGCAGCTTACGGAGCTTGCATCTATGTTCGATCAGAGAGCCAAGGTATCGTTTCGTCGAACCTACTTTGCTCGAAATCAAGAGTCGCACCCTTGAAGACCCTCACGATTCCGAAGCTAGAGTTATCTGCAGCTCTTTTACTCTCTGAGCTTGTCTCTCAAGTGGCACAAATCGCACCTCGATCTTGCACCTTTCATTGTTGGTCAGATTCGACAATAGTCTTGGCTTGGATCCGACAACCTCCATCAGATTTTAACATTTTCGTTTCGAACAGGATTTCGCAGATACAGGAAAGAACTAAGGGAATGACTTGGAGGCACGTACCGTCACGGCAGAATCCGGCGGACATCTTATCTCGTGGATGTACCCCTATTGAGCTGATGGAATCAAAACTTTGGAGTGAAGGACCGCAGTCCGCACTCACTGATTCTTCTACATGGCCCGATGACTCGCCCCCTGTCAAGGAACTTCCTGAGCGTCGACGCAGCGCATTGGTGCTGTCGCAGGAAATGGACATCTCACACAGTTGCAAGTTTGGAAACTCGTTTTGGAGAATGCAGAGAGTCTTCGGATATATATATCGGTTCCTTCAAAGGGTCAGCAAGGATCGAGTACGGCATAAAGGAGAGCTTACAGTCGAGGAAATCAACGGTGGGACTCATCTACTTATTAAAGGAATTCAGCGCGTGCACTTTGCCGAGGATCACAAAGCATTAACCTTGAAGATGAAGCTGTCGCCGAGAAGTGAACTTCTGTCCTTAAACCCATTTATAGATGCAGGAGGTCTAATGCGCGTCGGCGGACGCCTTCAAAATTCGCAGCTGGATTTCGATGCCAAGCACCCTATGATTCTTCCCAAGTCTCATCATATAACCTCAGCTATCATTGATCATTTTCATCGCAAGTTCCTTCATGCAGGAGCGCAGAGCTTGTTAGCCGCTTTACGACAGAGATTCTGGCCCATTGGAGGGCGAAAAACGGTTTCTGCTGTCATCAACAAGTGCATTCAATGTTTCAGATTAAAGCCCAAGCTAGTAGAACATATCATGGCGCCGCTCCCGGAGGACCGAGTGCAGCCGAATCGCCCATTCGTCATCTCTGGAGTGGACTTTTGTGGCCCCTTTTATTCGAAGTCAGAGGTCAGAAACAGGCCCCCTACGAAGTGCTACATAGCCATATTCGTTTGCTTCGTCAGCAAGGCCACACACTTGGAAGTCGTCGAAGACCTTTCAACGCAATCGTTCATAGCAGCCCTGAAGCGATTTATAAGCCTGAGGGGAAAACCTCAAACTATTTGGTCAGACAACGCAACGAACTTCGTGGGAGCCAAAAACGAGCTAATTGAGCTTCGGCAGCTGTTTCTGAGCGATCCTCAAAACATGGAGCTATGGAATTCCCTTACGTCGATGGAGATCCGCTGGAATTTCATCCCACCTCGTTCTCCGCACTTCGGTGGCCTGTGGGAAGCCGCGGTCAAATCCGCAAAATATCATCTCGTCCGTGTTGTTGGAAAATCAATTCTCACATTTCATGAACTGCGCACTTTAGTTTGTGAAATTTCCGCAATTTTAAACTCACGACCGCTCTGTCCCATTTCAGAAAACCCAGATGACATTAGTGTTCTTACTCCTGCACACTTTCTCATTGGATCTACATTCACTGCAATGGATGAGCCTGATGTCACCCATCTGAACATCGATCGCTTGAGCCGGTGGCAGCGCGTATGCCAAATGCAGCAAACCTTTTGGCGCAAATGGAGCGCCGACTACCTTTCGCTTCTGCAGGAGCGGACTAAATGGCGCCTTCCTGTGAGCAACGTACCGGCAGGCAGCATGGTCCTCATCAAGGAGGACAACGTACCCCCTTTGCGGTGGCGCCTCGGCAGGGTCGAGAGCACCGTCGCCGGAGAGGACGGCGTCGAACGAGTCATACAGTCATCCGAACCGACTCTGGACTATGCAAGCGGGCAATGAGGAAGCTTGCGGTACTGCCGGTACCCTGGAAACCACTTCACTTGGAAGCATGACTATTCCAACGGGGGGAGCATGTCGGGAGCAGCCGCAGCAATCAACTTAATATCAATTTAAAATCATTTATTGTTTGCCATTTGGTCAGCATCTCTGACAACAACAATGTAAACAAAAGCTCCCAATTATCTATTTTGCAAAAGATAAGCCGAGATAAGCGACTGCGCTCGCTGTTCTCTCGGACCTACGCACTCTCATCATTAACATTCGCTTTTGATCGCTGGTACAGAGCAGCTCGTTCGCTCTCGCTACCACAATAAACGCATTAAAAATCGAACCACATTTTCGGCTTTCCTTTTAACACCGTTCTGACACACACATAATTCTCTCTCGTTAATTATTCGCAAAAAAGGTGGCATAAATTAATGCCTCCTCTAAACACAGGTAATATTACACAAAAACCATAAAACCAATGGTCATGGTTTTCTTCGCAAGGGCACCCCAATCGGGGGTGACGGGCCTGACACACCCGCGATCCCTAGTCACGGCACAACCATGGATATCACAAGGACTAACGGCAGGACACAACTCTTTGATTTCGACGATTACGGGCTGACGAATGCGGCATTCTGTTACCTTAGTAAGTTAGAGTGACATCTGGCAGAAACGGCTTTCAGGACAATGCCTCATTCGCCTCCGTCCAAATAAAACTTAGCAAGTCTCTAAGTACGTTCAAGACGCACACCGACGGCTCGGTGGTGCAGGCGCAGTTGAATGGATTCCTGCCTAGAGTCTGTCCTGGCTCTGCACACAGACGCCCATGAAGCTCTGTGTCAACCCTCGCATGGACCTCACTGCTTGCATAGGGACCCATGGGGACATTTAGGACTACTGCACATATGCGGGGAGATAGCGGCTTAGAGTTTGGACCCACTCACACAAGATGATAAACACACAACGGAAAAAGGACAATGAAGAAGATACATTCAAGAAGAGCACCGTGATGACAAGATCACCAGACAAGAACGCGACGGGGACGACAAACCAAAATCCTAACCACGCGGGCAGCGGCAACACAGAAGCTGAAAGTGGAGCAACCCCACAACCGATGCAACAGCCCCATCTGCATACACAGACTACGACGTCAAGCTTCCCACGACAGGAGCTGATTTACAAGATGCAGGCTCTAGAAGAAAAGACCTTGGTAGAATGCAAAGCTGTTTTAAGGAAAATGAAAATCGCTGTGCAAAAGCAAAGAAACGTCAGCATGGACGTCAAGGATGGCACCTCAGAACTGAGTGAGCTCTTCGATGTCATGGAAAACTACCGATCGAGCTGGAAAACCGCAGAACTGGAGCGCCTAAAGGCAACGAGGATGGCCAACAAATACGTATCTGGCAGCACAGCGAGCGAAACCCACGTGTCGACACTAAAGAAGAGGACAGCCAGTAGCCCGGCAACTCAGGAGATGAGCAAGAAGGTGAGAAGCAAACAGGCAAATGACGGATTTCAGACGGTCACATACAAGAAGGGAAAAAAAGAAAACAAAACTAAAGACGGACATATAAGGAACAATGGAGCTGAGGGAAATAAAGAGAAACCTAGCACAAGAATGCGTTCTCGCCCAGAAGCCGTCCTAATCAGACCGGCAGAGGGTAAGAGCTATGCTGAGGTGTTGGGCAACCTGCGGAAGACTCTTAAACCAGAGGACTCAGGCAGTAATATAGTATCGGTCAGAAAAACGAAGGCAGGCGACATGCTCCTGGAACTTGCCAAAGGAAGCCAAATGGACAAATTATGTGAAAGTATCAAAGATACCCTTAAAGAGTGTGGATCGGTGAAGACCATGAGGCAAATGGTCAAACTAGAAATTAGAGATATTGATAGAATCACACAAGAAGACGAAATAATCTCATCAATCAGAGAAAGTATAGGCGATACAAGGCAGGAAATAACAATACACTTGACGGGAGTAAACAGCTCAGAACAAAGACGAGCCTTTGTTACGCTACCAATGAAAGACGCGACGAAGATATTGACGGAATAACGGATAAAAATAGGGTGGACCCGGTGCCGGGTGAAGCGTTGTCCCGACATAAAGAGATGCTTCAAGTGTTTTGGGGCTGGACATTTGCAAAAGGACTGCAAAGGACCGGATAGGAGAGACCTTTGCATCAGATGTGGTGAAAGTGGTGACAAAATAAAGACCTGCACCAAAGCTATAAGATGCTGTATCTGCACAGCAGAGAACAGGAGCGAGGTTGGACACCTCCCTGGGACTGCGCATTGCCCCAGCGTGAAAAGAAAAGGAAAGCCATGAAGATCCTTCAAGCAAATATGCATAGAAGCAGAACGGCAAATGACCTACTGCACCAAATCGTGCTGGAAAACCAAATTGACGTTGTTATCATAAGCGAACAATACAAGAAACGGGAGGAAGGATTCTGGCTGGAAGACGACACAAAGACGGCGGCCATATGGATTCCGGACCCCACCACGGCTCCACACAGAAGTGACAAAAAAGGAAGATGCCACGTCATTACACAAATTAGAAACTGGACGATATTCAGCTGCTATTTGACCCCAAGTGACGACATTCAGACCTTCCAGACGAAACTTGAAGATATTGAAGACAACGCAAGGCATATAGGTGGAAACCTTATAAAAGCTGGGGACTTTAACTCAAGAGCCCAGGAATGGGGTATGCGATCAACTGACTCTCGAGGCCGTAGAGTCCTAAACATGGCCGCAAGAACCGGGACGCTAACAGCAAATGTAGGTGCAATACCCACATTCAATCGAGTAGGGAACGTGGGCACAATCCCCGACATAACACTAGTGACAGAAAACTGCGCACACAAAATCGCCGACTGGAAAGTCCTTGATACCTACAACGGAAGTGACCACTGCTATATTATGTTTGACATAGCAGAAAACGAAGTGACTACATTAGCACCAACGAGGAAAGGATGGAACGCTAATCGACTGGACAAAGAAAGGCTTATTCGAGATATTGACGCAAGGCTGAACCGACAGAGAGGCGGTGACATAATCAGCAACAACATGACAACCATAAGGCAGGCCTGCAACGCTGCAATGCCTAAAATGGGCAATCGTCGCAGACAAGGACAAGAAGCATACTGGTGGACCCAAGAGATTAAAGCTCTCAGAGAAACGTGTATAAAAAACAGACGCCGCCTTACGTCTCCTAGACGGAGATGGATCTTTACAGAAGAAGAGAGCCAATTTAAGAAATCCAAGAAGGATTTAAATATTGCCATCCGAAAAAGCAAAACGGAGAAATGGAAACGACTCTGCAACGATGTCAATAGTGACCCATGGAGGCTCGGATATAAAATCGTGATGAAGAAGCTCAGAACAAGAAATCCAACACCGGATCTAGAGGAAGAGCAAATGGACCAAATAGTCAAAACACTATTTCCCGCCCATACAAATAGCATAGCAAGGACTACTCCACCAATAGCCGAACACCAGATCGAGCTCTTCACTGAGGACGAGCTACTGAAAGCGACAAAATCCTTAAAAAGGAAGAAGGCCCCAGGACCCGACAACATTCCAGCAGAAATCCTAATAGTGATAGCGGAGAACCGACCCCATATCCTATTGGATATGTATAACGAGTGCATTACCAGCGGGAAATTCCCAGACATTTGGAAGGTGCAACGGTTGGTCCTGATAAGCAAGGGCAAGGGAGACCCCCTAACCCCGTCAGCTTATCGGCCATTATGCATGCTCAACACAACCGGGAAGCTACTAGAGAAATTGGTCAAGCCACGACTAGCAGCAGCGATCGAAAGAGGAGGGGGTCTTTCCCCGAGGCAGTATGGGTTTAGACCAGGAAGATCGACCATTGGAGCAATCCAAGAAGTCGTGAACCAAGCTCTCAGCAGCCAACAGGGCAACAACTACTCGAGACCGGTAGTGCTCCTGGCCACTCTGGACGTTAAAAACGCATTCAACAGCGTTAGATGGGACAACATAATTGAGGCTCTGAAAAGACGATTCCAAATCCCAGGATACCTGATACGGATAATACAGGACTATCTTGACAACCGACGACTACTGTATCAAACAAAAGCAGGGGAGAAAAGCATGCAGATAACTTCAGGAGCCGCACAAGGATCAATACTTGGACCAGAGCTATGGAACATCAGCTATGACGAAATTTTCCACCTAGACATCCCAGAGGACACGACTATCGTGGGATACGCAGACGACATAGTCGCAGTCATTACAGCGCGCAATACCGAGTATGCACAACGCAAGCTGACGCAAGTAATGATACGTGTAAAAAGATGGCTGAACTCACACGATCTAAAACTTGCGGATGAAAAAACGGAGCTATTATTAGCTACCAGGAGAAGGATCCCCCTAGAAATAGATATGAGAGTAGGGGAAAACGTTATAAGGACGCAGAAGGTCATAAAGTACCTAGGAGTAAAACTTGACTCAAAACTAACATTTAGTGCACACATACAAGGGGCGAAGAAAAGAGCGACCGAGACTACAAAGGCGCTTAGCAGACTCATGGCCAACGTGGGCGGCCCATTACCATCAAGACGAAAGCTTCTAATGGAGATAAACCACGCAATCATGCTGTACGGATGCGAGATCTGGGCAGGGACCCTTGAGACAGCCTGCAGGACAAAACCTCTACAGGAGGAGCAAAGAACGATGGCTTTACGAATCGCGAGCGCGTATGGTATCCGGTCCGGCGGCACTAGTAGTTGCAGGCACGATACCAATCGACCTTTTAGCCAAAGCGCGAAAAAGGATATACGAAAGACGAAAAGATGGAGACACGACGAGGACACTAATCGAGCGGACCAGAGAGGAAACCCTCCGACAATGGCAGGAAAGATGGACAGCAGAATGGAGAGGCAGATGGACAGCTAGGCTACTACCAAACCTGGTAGCATGGTCCGCAAGGAAACACGGAGACGTGGATTACTACGTCACGCAGATGCTGACAGGCCATGGCTACT